CTGTAAGTTACTAGCATCGGTCAACGGCTATCACAACAGACTAGTCAGGGAAGCCATTGAGATTCAAAAACACCCACACAATTTCAACCGAAAGGAGGAGACCCTTAGACTCAACCAAATCTGGAACCCGATCCTTAGGAACGCCCGAGCAGTACCGATCGATATCCCGAGACCAACCGAAGCGGAACAAGCCCCGCTCTCCACCAATCGGCATAAATACAACCTGCGCAGGAGAAATCGTCAGTCTACGTCCAACATCGGAGATGGAAGGACCTCTGAAGAAGCTCGCCAGTCGTGCTAGCGAAACGTTAGGAAGTAATTCCAATCGACGACGGCATTTAAACCCGAATGAAGATAATAGCTTATCAACGGGCCGCGAAAGCCTTAACCAATTTATAATACATTTGAATGTCTCATTTTGTTAATATCCATGGCTTCCAATAAATTTAATTTTCTACTTTTTGTGGCTGTATGTAAAATATCAAAATTGTCGTCAAAAATGTGTTTTTCTGTGTTTAAGTGTGTGGCATAATTACTATCTAGACTGTTATTTTTAAACGCTCTTTTATGTTCATTAATGCGTTTTTTTGAAGGATCTACCTGTTTCTCCCATTTTTATCAAATCCAAATTTTAGGACAAGATCCGCATTTCAACAAACCACATTTTCACAAATGTTTTGAAACTTCTTCACTAGGTTCTCCTATGTAGAGGGTGTTTTTTTTCGACGTATAGAACTTTAAGTTACAATAAAACAACGATGGATTATTCGATTGACATGAATTTTATTTATCCGAAAGATAACCTTGTGGCATTACATTTTAAATATGATTTTTGGCATTTGAACCGGGCAAGCTGTAAGAATATTTATTTATGTATTTATGTTTAAATCTAAAATAAAATTACAAATTATTTTTATGACCTACTTAAATTACATACAATTATTCACATAATATATCAGTATCACTATCGCTATCATCACCTGTTCTAATTATTATTGGTTCTATATTATTTGCAATATACGATTGTTCTGCTTTTTCTATATCTGGAGGGATGTTAAAAACTTCGGTTTCAATAAGTTTGAGGACATTGGAGTTAACACGGGGAAAAACATTGTTACGACGAATGGCAGATTTCAGTTGGTGCCAAACATGTTTAATGGGATTAAATATACAGTGGTGACCTTAAAAATGTATGCCCTAGATTTTTTGCATAATTATCATAGACGTATTCATCTTGTAGGTCCAAGCTTTGTAGAACCTCAATTGATTGCTTTTTGGTATAATCTTCGTGAAAACAAATGTCATTATACATGTAGTTTTGGATTGTTGCTTTTGTGTCACATGAGGAAGGGGTTTTAGTCAACTCTCTATTGTGATAACTTGCATTGTCCATTACAATGACGCTATTAGGAGGAACGTTTGGAACTAGTTTGTTTTTAAACCAACTTTCAAATAAATCAGCGGTGGTGTCTTCCTGGTAATCCAGAGAAGAATTTTTAATAATTTTCGCAGAAAGAGAAAGTCCATTTGGAATCCAACCATCTTTAGAGCCAGCATGCAAAATAGTTATTCTTTTACCTCTTTTTAATGGCGCGTTTGTTTTACACTTATCAGTTGAGTCAACCCAACCCTTTTCCGGGGTATCATAAGTGTCGAACCAGGTTTCATCCAAGTAAATAATTGGCCTTTGTTGTTCTCTGTAAATTCTAATTTTTTCTAGATATCCCAGTCGCCATTTCCGAATTCTAGAAAAAAGATTTAACAGCAACAAAGAAGTTATCGAAGCTGTAAATCGGTATTTTGACGACAATACAGTTATGAGACGTGCATCAGTGTTGATTGAGATTGCGTTGAAAAATAAAGCAAAACAAAACTTATAATCGTTTAAAATCGAAATAAAGTCGTCTTCTTAATTAATTGAAAAAATTAATTTTTATCGCCACTTAGCACGCCCGATAAAGCTTTTTTCCTGTTCATTAATCACGACGTAAGCCTCGCCGTTATCAAAATCACAGGTCGTTTCGTTAATTAAAAAAAGAAAAGCCTTCGAGAGACAACCTGTAAGGCCCCCTCGCGGGGATTAACCGAAACTCGACGGGCACGAGGGCTCGACAAGTGCACTCGCGTCGAATGGCCTACTAGAAAAAAATGCTTTTGCCAATTAGGGCGTGCACGTAGCGCGTAGCTCGATTCATTGCAAACCGGTCGTGATTATCGCCCTCTTTTTGTGCTAACCGGGTAAGTGATAAAAAAGTAAATCAAGTAGCCCGGGAAATGACAAGGCAGTGAAACGTTGAAGCATGAATCACCAACTATTTTTAAATTTTGTTTTGATTTCCTTTTAAAATTTTTGAACTTTGTTATTAATAATAATACATACCTTATAGTTTTTCGAACGTTTTATTTAAAAAAAAACTAGCTTTGTCACTTACAAAAAAAGGTAGATCCCTCGTGTTTGATATTAGCGTTATTCGAAGATGACGTAAAAGATATATGCAAAGCAATTGGAAATAAATGCTACAGGGTGTTGACAATAAATGAATATTTTTGGATCATTTTCATTTCACAATGAATTCAAAACAAAATTTTAATAAAGCGCATTTCAAACAATGTGGTTTATTCGTCACGCTTTTTTGAGCCACCATGTTTTGGAACTAATAAGAGAAGAGAAGAGAAACTTTACGCTAACCTTGACTCACCCTGTACAAGTATGTTGAAAGATAAATATGGTCTAGAAATTCATACAGGGACAACCAGGTAAAACAGAAGGCCCCGCACCATCAGAAATTATATTATTATATAAAAACTACTTTTAAGTGACGAAGGTCACTTTCGATAGAGAAAACCTTGCTTGTTGGGAAAAAACATACGTACAAGTGGTTTTCACTACTTGCACTAGAGCGATCCAAGTCAAACATCTATAGTTTTTTAAAAATGATTTTCCGAAATTTTAAATAGGATGATACATCAAAATAAATAAGAACTAAAAGTTCAGATTTTCACGAAATTATATATTATGACATGACAATTGTTTCGACAACACCGTGTCTTTATCAAATGTAGGCACGCTTTGTTCCTCGTATAACTGGTAAATTTTACGCCGTATTATATCTTGACCACTTTCAGCTACACTCGAGAAAATGTCAGCATCGCTTCTTTTTTCCTCGCTGAAATGGGATTATTCACAATTTTCCATACAATCGATGTTGGAATTTTCGTCAATGGGGCCGTTTCTTCTAAAGATGCTTGCTTGCTGCCACCACGTTAGTGTTTTCTACATTTGGGCAGGGACCATCTCCTAAGATACACTAGACTCGCACATATTTTGCATAATTCGCACACGATTCAACACACGCTGTATTACACACAAAATAAATTTAAACTAAGTAGTATACCAAACCAAAGAAGAAAGAAGACTGGTAGGTATAAAGTTATTTTCTATCACGCGCCACAATTTTACCTGAATTTAAATTCTGAAGGTAATAATCTCGTTGCATTGTATGTTATTGACCACCCTTGGATAATCCCATTCAAAAGCCACTGGTCACTTTCTTATATCTATGAACAGACCATATCCGTGCTGAAAAGCATGGTCCCTTCCGCTTTACAACAGGCTGGTCTTAAACTCATTCAGAAGTCAAAACCATAAAAGTTTGTAAAAACCGTATATTGTTTGGAGAACTCTAATAATGATGTAAACGTTTTAATTTGCTCGTAGGGATTTTTGGGCCAATACATCCAACCGATCCAGGGTAGTGGTAGAAAAGCACTTTTTTTATTATTATTACCTATTTGCATCTTTTAAAACTATCCACTTACAATACTGCCTACGCTTCGAAAATTGCAAACTGCTTTCTTTCAAAATGAAACGAAACAAGTGTATTGTTTCCCTCACAGTTCAGAGATACCAATAAAGTATAAAGTTACTTTGCAATAAGACAGTAACAACGGGCAATGCTTCCAAAACGATTCGCGCTCTTTTCGATTGCATTGCATGGCGGAAGCAGCAATTTCGCATCCAGCGAGAGTTCTGGTAATTCGTAAAGTTTCGTACAGACGATTATTGTTCACAACCGGGAGTTCCCGTTGGCTGAAAATCGCTATTAGGGAAGCAAAAAGTAATACATTTTCAATAAAAATAAACATAACCTTAATACGAAATTGAACTGAGATGGCTTTTACTTGATAAAAAACCATTTAATATAATTAAATTAATTAAATTAAATTGTATTATAAATATAAATATTATAAAAAGTAAAAAGTAATTAATAATTAATAATTGTGCAAAACGTATAACTAAGTATCGGAAGGAAAACAGATTCATTATGGGGTACTAGATCTCATGATCTAGGCACACAACTTCTTCTAGTGCTAATTTCATTTAACTTTGTAATAAGCCCAAATAGGTTTCTGCAGTTGAACTGAGGTGGCTTTTACTTGATGAAAATCCATTTATCAAAATAAATAGGAACTAAAAGTTCAGATTTTCACGAAATTGTATATTATGACATGACAAATGTTTCGACAACACCATGTCTTTATCAAATGTTAAATTTGATTTTATAAATTAAATCAAATGATAATTGATTGAAAATCTGAACTTTTAGTTTTTATTTATTTTGAGGTTTCTGCAGTTTTAATTTTTCATAGTCTTGGCTCTAATACCAACATTTTTGTGGTTCGTCGTTGCGTGAAAAAACACGTATAAACAAAATACATGTTCTAATCTCCATTATCCGTTTTTTCTGCTCTATTACCGACATTTTGAGATGAACATTTGCAATTATTTATTACGGTGCCTTTTGCCTCGAATTGAGCAAAAATAAGTTTAATTGTTGAAATCGAAGGCATAGTTTTAGCTTGAAAATAAACTGAAAACATTTCGGACAGTTTCCTGCATAACACCACTTAATTATGGTTACTTTTAATTGGTTTTGTAATATTGTCCATTGTTCCGAAAAGATTAACGGAAAAAAGGCGTTCTATCTCCGATCACTCACCGTGATCCGTATCTTGAAGATCCATTTCTGCTTGACGGTCAAAAAGAGCCAGATGACGATCCAGAAGAAGAGATGCAGTATACCTCCGATGATGCAGACGAGGGTGACGTCATCGAGGCTGCCCTTGTAGACGACGGTGAAGTCATGGATGAGGGGCGCGTTGCAGATGGCGATCGAGATGAGCACGCAGAAAGCGGCGCAGTGAGTGAAATAGCTCCAGGCGTTGCTGCCTTCCGTCTTCAGGGTGATCAGTTTCCTTTCGCGTTGGTGGTTGAGGAACGCCTGGAACCTGGAACGACCATGTTCGTTTTTATAGAATTTTTTTGGAAAATTTTGCACCCGCAGCTGATTTAACATTACAATACAATACAACACGATACAAATGATTTATTGTGCAAATCTAGTAACTTACATCTTCACAAAAACCAAGAGGGTTGAGAAATAGAAATGGAGATTAGGTACGCTCTGTGAAAGTATCAAAGTTATGGGAGAAGAAATTAAATATGTCAGAAAATCTGAAAGCTCATTAAACCCAACAGAAGTGGATTTAACTGGGCGATAAGGTATTATATTATGCAACAAGTGCGGTAAACGGCATTTGACCCAAGAGTTTATTTGACACGAGCGGAGCGCAGCGGAGCGAGTGTTTAATAAACGAGTGACTTAAAGAGTTTATCGAACCTGTTGCATACTACACTTATTCTACGACCGTTAGTTTTTGCGTAAATTTTCGCAAAACAACACAAATACATTCACTGACATGACCGTCGGAATAAACAAACGTCAAAGTTCAAAGCGTGGGAGATATCTCAGGAAACATCCGATTGCTCCCAAACCCGTGCGGTAAAATCCCGGAAATGCCCGAAGTGGCTCGGATTAGTGGGGATTAGTGAAAAACTGCAATACAGTCCACGTTGGTTCAACGGTATCATTACGGGAAGAACAATTACATCCCGTTGGGTACGGCACATCTTTTGGTCCTTCGAGCCGGATTTGAACCAGCGACCTGCGGATCCGCGTCGAAACACATTCTGGAAGTGACGGAGATTGCCGTGTTTTACGGTTAAGGATGGTACGGTACGTTTCGAAGATTTGTCAATAAGTTATTAATTTTTTTTATTTCCCTTCATTTTGGAATTAAAATATTTCGAGACAAAAAAAATTTGTCGCACCAGCATATTCGTCGATTGTCGTCATGTCCAAAATCCACGAATTGAAGTTTGAATTGATGCCGCAACCTCCCTACTCACCATTCTTAGCTCCCAGCGACTATTACTTGTTTCCTAACCTCAAAAAATGGCTTGGCGTTAAAAGATTTAACAGCAACAAAGCAGCTTGACGACTCTAAGTTTAAAACTGGGATAACCAAATTGAAACACCGTTAGGAGACATGTTGAAAAACAAAGCAAAACAAAATTTTAAAAATATATTTTTTTTTGGTCAGGCCGGAAACTTTTCACCCCACCCTTGTACGTACGTATATGTATATCTTGATATTTAGTAACCCCATTTTTTAAGTTTTGTTTAGAATTCGATTTGAAAATGTTCAAACTTTCTAACGCTCAAATTTGATATTAGCGTTATTCGAAGGTGACGTAAACGATGGATAATTTTACGATTTATTTTAAAATTTTCAATATTTACCCTTCTTTCTGTCTAAGACTTTTGGTATAATAGTTGGCTATGTGTTAAAATTAAAAAATGAACGTTGGAGAAGTAGATAAATCAACTTTGGTGAAAATTACGGCCAAATTTTAAATTCACAGAAAAAGCAAATTATATCAAAATAGTATATTATGCAACGAGTGCGGTAAACGGCATTTGACTCAAGAGTGACTTAAAGAGTTTACCGAACGTGTTGCGTACTACACTTTCTCTACGACCGTTAGTTTTTGCGTACATTTTCGCAAAACAACACAAATACATTCACTGGCATGACCGTCAGAATAAACAAACGTCAAACTTCAAAGCGTGGGAAATATCTCCGAAAACATCCGATTGCTTCCAAACCCGTGCGGTAAAATCCCGGAAATGTCCGAAGTGGCTCGGATCTGTTAAAGTGACGCTTCCCGCACGCAAGATCGGTGTGTAATTAAGTATTTTACAGACGGTAGAAGAAAAAAGAAGTTACTTATGAAGCTACATGCAAGAATTCGTTCCTTTGAGAGCATATAAGATGCTGGATTCCTTTTTACCATTAATCTAATTATGACCGAAAATGAAAATATTTTAGTTTCTTATTCTCTTTTTTTTAATAAACGTGCTCAAATCAAACATTCAAGAGTGTTCTTCTACATTTAGAATTGTTAAAATACCCGCATGCGCGTCGCATTTTACGTAGTCAGTCCAGTACATTATAATCAGATTCGAAATCGAGAAGGCGTCGCATGTACGCCTATGATATATTTATCAAATCAAGCAGGCCGTGCCGCGGGAATAACAGACGGGACGTAGGTCGCTGCTCGCGCGCAAATAAATCCGAAACGTTTACGGCCCTCGCACGTTTTAATGCAAACGTTTAAGGCACGTATTGAATAATATTTCCGTACACCGGGTTAACTATGCAAATGCAGTCGGTAATTAAAACAGGCCACTCGATAAACTTTTGCTTACGCCGTGGATTAAACGAGACGGCCGCTCGCGCGCTGTATCGATCTCCGACTTACGTTTTTCGATGCAATACGACCCCTACAAAAGCATACGTTCATAACAATATAATTCAGATATATTTCGATATTTGCTCCGATTCGGTAATGGGCGAGTGTCCTTAGTAGAATTGGCCACGTTATTTTTTTATTAATTATTGTTCGAAATCGAATTTCATAAGTTAAAGCATATCGTGTTTTATTTTAGGCCCTCAAGCTTCTCAGTATGGAAAAGTAAGTCTCTTCCTTTTATTTGACATTTTTAGGTTATGATTCGCATGTTTTATTTTATTGTTTTAGGAGTTCACTTACGTGATAACTTTTTAACTTGGAAGTAGCGCAACATATCAAAACAAAGCACTCAGACCAAGACACTAAATATACTAGATATAGATATTGTAAAATTATTTAATTTCTCTTTTTTTCCTAGCCCATCAAACCTGCTATGAGTCAAGTGATTGCGGTTGAGTACCCTGCCATCAGATGGCATTTTCTGACATAATGGATATGTTTTTTTTACGTCAGTAGATAGTCAAACAAGAATCTGAAAACCCGTGAGAACCGCATCTCAATATCTTTATCCTAACCTGAAATGTGAACAAAGGGATTTAAAACACTGAAAAACTTAAATTTTGGTAAGCATCTCCGCCCTACGGGTCGTTATTGAGATAAAACTTCGTTATTTATCTTAATTTATATTAATTTTCTTACAATACCATTATTGCTGCGTTGTGATATTAGTTTTCATATTTTGGGTATTTCCTCACCTTTTTTTTATAAAGCAATTGTTAAAAACTAACGCTTTAAATGGTAATTATCGAGACTGTCATAAAAACATTTTTTGCCGCCTGACGTTATTATAGTATTGTTTTTTAGTAGACTATAAATAAAAACGCTATAGGCATCTTTTATGTAGTTATTCTTTTAATTATCTACCGTTTTAAATTCTATGGTGGATGGGGATTCCAATTTTTTATCTCGAACGTTATGGACCGCTAAAGTTACTTTTTAGAGCAATATAGGAGTCAATTTGCATAACATGCAATATTCGGTGGAGTGCGAACGTTGTCTGATGTGGTATTTTGGGCGATCGAATTATAGGACCATTTTTCTTTAATGATAAAGTTAATGGCCAGATTTATTTGAACTTTTTAAGAAACCACTTGCCGATTTTTTCAGAAAACGTTTCTTTACAAACGAGAAGAGAAGAGATATATGTGATGTGATATATACAGTGTGTCCAAGATAAGGATGCACAGCATGGGGATCTCGGAAACTATAAGAGATACAGTGTCGGTTAAATTAGACAAAAGTTGCGCATTTTGATACCGAACAAGATCCCGTTTTACAAATTTGAAAATTCCAAGCCGTTCCGGAAATATCCGAGAAAAACCGAAATATTGCGATTTCGTTTTTATTATTTTTTAAAGCTATTTGAAAAGATATGAAAAAACGGAAAACACTTTTCCATTGGCACTTTTTAATCTCTCCAAATTGACGTTAACAAATTTTCATTACAGCGTTTCGATTCCATGGAACCACCATCAACTTTGATTTTTCTTATGGGACGGAAAAAAAGTACACACAGTATTAGGTTGTGCTTTTCATTGCGAATTCAACGATGTACGATACAATACGGTTACTTATGTTTTTATCCAGAAAAATGGCTTTTTAATACATTTCTAGTATTTTATTGTAGTACGCCATGAGATCCGAACGATGAAAGGCAAAAGAAAATGGTTGACAAGTTCGAGTTAATGTGTTTATTTATTTACTAACTCTAACTGTTCATTTAACATAACAACTAAATCCAACAAGTTAATGAAAAACAAATTCTATAACAAATGTTCGAATAAATGACCTCCATTTTCTAGGCATAAGTACGCCCGTCTCACGGTAGACTCCAAAACACGACTTAACATTTCAGGAGTAATTTTATTAAACGCTGCTCGTACTGATTGACGTAATTGTTCCTCGTTGTCAAAACATTCTTTGAATACCTCATTTTTAATGTAGCCCCATAAGAAAAAGTCCAAGGGAGTTAAGTCCGGGGACCTTGGAGGCCAAGGTGTTTCACTGTAAGTCCCAATGTATTTTCCATCAAACCGTTCAGTTAAATATTGGCGAACTTCTCTGGAGTTATGGGCTGGGGCACCATCTTGTTGGAACCAGCAGCCTTGCACAGCGCCTAGCAGTAAATCATCTAAGGCATCTTCTAAATCGTGCCTCAAGATGTCAAGGTACCGCTCGGAAGTTAAGGAATTATTATAGAAAATAGGGCCTATAATCTTGCTACCAAAAATCCCACACCAAATATTAAACCCAAAGCGAACTTGATGTCTGGATAGTCTATTAACACGTGGATTTTGTTGAAACCAATAGTGTGTATTGCGCCTGTTATAAATACCGTTATTGGTCACCATACTTTCATCAGACCAAATCACTTTATATGGAAAATTAAAACTCTCATCACACATCCTGGTATACCACTCACAAAAATGTCTACGTCGTTCGTCGTCACCCGGTTTTAATCCTTGACATATTCTGAATTTGTAAGGCTTAAATTCATTTTTCCTTAAAATAAACTGAGCTGTAGATTTAGCTACCCCATTCTGGTCTTCAATTTCTCTGGTAGAAGTTTGTG